GTATAAGTGTTCCAGTCTCTCCACAACCTCTCCAGCATTTATTATTTTGTGTTTTTTGGATTAATGCTAGCCTTGTCGGGGTGAGATGATATCTCATTGTAGTTTTGATCTGCATTCCTCTAATGGCTAATGATTGTGAGCATTTCCTCAGGTGTCTGTTAGCCACCTCAATATCTTCTTCAGCAAAGCACCTGTTCATGTCTTTTGCCCATTTTTAAATTGGGTTATTTGTCTTTTTGTTGTTGAGGTTTTGCAGTATCTTGCAGATTTTAGAGATTAGACACTGATCAGATTTGTCATAGCCAAAATTTTCTCCCAGTCTGCAGGTTGTCTTTTTACTCTTTTGGTGAAGTCTTTTGATGAGCATAAGTGTTTGATTTTTAGGAGCTCCCGTTTACCTAGTCTCTCTTCTGGTGCTTGTGCACTGTTACTTACGGTTCGTATTGTGTTTCTGCCATGTATTAGGGCTCCTAGCATTGTCCCTATTTTTTCTTCCATGATCTTTATTGTTTTTGATTTTATATTTAAGTCTATGATCCATTTTGAGTTAGTTTTTGTGCATGGTGTGACGTATGGGTCTTGTTTCAGTTTTTTTCAGATAGATATCCAGTTCTGCCAGCACCATTTGTTAAAGAGACTGTCTTTTCCCCAATTAATGAACTTTGAGCCTTTGTCAAATATGAGCTGCTCATAGGTGGATGAATTTATGTCTGGATTCTCAATTCTGCTCCATTGGTCTATGTATCTGTTGTTGTACCAGTACCAGGCTGTTTTGACTCCTGTGGCAGTACAATAGGTTTTAAAATCAGGTAGTATGAGGCCTCCCACTTTGTTTTTCTTCTTGAGCAATGCTTACTTATTCGAGGCCTCTTCTCTTTCCATATGAAGTTGGTGATTTGTTTCTCCATCTCATTAAAAAATGCCGTTGGAATTTGGATAGGGACTGCATTGTATCTGTAGATCACTTTGGGTAGAATTGATATTTTCACAATGTTGAGTCTTCCTATCCATGAGCAAGGTAT